CTCTGAGCCTGGAGCCCATCCTCCAAATCCTCGTGTCTGTCAACAATATGTCCCTTCTGCCAGCTTTCAGGCGGAACTCACCTAGCTTCAGGGCTGTCATTACCAAAGAAACGGCGGTGCTCTCTAAAGCATCAGGGAAGGCTGGCCAGGGAGAGTCCACCAGTGACTTACCCATCTCCCGTGTGGCACCCCAAAATGGAAAGCAACTGAAGACCCTTGAGAGAACTGTCATTCAGGAGTAATCCCACCGGAGTGGGCCCTGTACATAGTACCTGGTGCGATTTGAGGAACCCCAGACACTCTCTGTGTCCAGATCGCCCACTCTTTGTCACTGAGCCTGATATCCCATGATCAGACCTCATTCCACCAGCATTTATGAGCACCTACCATTTTCCAGGCATCGTGCTAAGCATCGGCCTTAAATCCACTGGGTGAATATTACCTTCTCTAAGCATTTTCTTTTGAAATGCAAATACCCTCGGAGAAGGGAAATGCATTAAATCACTAATACCCCAAAATGAGTTGGGGGTTTCTTTCTTTTAAAACAGTAGAGAAAGCCTGGACGTCTTTAGCAAAAAGGGGAGCTAAAGTTCAGAGGGCAGAGGTGACTACAGAAACAGAAGCAAGACAGCAACAGCCTGGCCTTTTTCTGCGGTTGATGTCTAGGGCCACATCTCCCCCTTCCTTTATCCTCTCACCAAGACAAGCACACCCCTGCCCCCACAAGCAGCCACAGTGCCCATAAGTGCAACGGGTAAGGCCAGCCAGATTCCAGAGAGCAGCCAGCGCCTGGGCGGCCTTGGCCCTGCTGCAGAGGGGTCTGGCCTGCCTTTCACCATCTCCAGGGTGAGGGTGCCCTGAACTAGTGCCTACTCGCTCCCCAACAAGTCCAGGGCTTGGAGTTCAGGTAATTAAGCCCTTGGCAATCTCACCTGGGCCCGCCAGTAAACCAGACAATCAACCCCAGCGCCTGTTCAGGAGGGAGAGAGAAGAGGAGGAGGGAGGGAAGGAGAGAAACTTTTTTTCTATGCTGCATCGAAGGCTTGGCAACCAGAAGGGAAAATGCTATTAGTCTACAAACAGCCAGTCCGAATACCCTCCCCCCCACTCATCATACCCAGGGTCTTCCCCTTCTGCCACAGAACCCTGGTCTCCGTCTGCCACCATCATCAGGGTGGGCTGCAGCCAGAACAGGAGCCAGGCAGTGAGGGCCTATGCTTGCAGAGTCAGGCTTTCCCCAGCATGGCTCCTTCCACGGCAGAGGAGGGAGGGAAGGGCACTGAATCCCCTAACCCACTTTAAAAGCCATAGCCACCCTTTATGTGTGCTTCTAGAATGTCCAGAAGGGTGCTCCAGACGCTCTTTTTAGAGCAACCGAGTGACTCCTTTGTACCCTGCCTTATTTCACCGCCAGCTACTAAAGGTTCCGTCTTTGCCTGGGCTCCCACAGAAGACCATTCCTTAAACATCACTTTGGTGCAGGGCTCAGCAGGTTCCTGGCTCTCAAACAGAACTTTCTTTTTCCCCTCTAAACAATAAACATTAATACTCTGGCATATGATCACACTGATATGAGATGGAGTTCCAAACGTGGCCCTTTTCACTTCCTCCTAAGACACACAAGAGGAAAAAGCTGTTGTCACGTGGTAGGGTGGGGGAGAATACAATTGGACATAAATAATTGTCATTTAGTGAGTGCTTGCTAAGGGTCTAGCCTAAGCACTCTGAGGATTATCTAAGTTAATGCTCCCTAAGGTACTATTATTATCCCAATTTACAGATAAGGAAACTGAGGCTAAGAAGGAAATTTGTCCGAGATCACACTGAAGCTTTAATGAATACTTATTTGAATTGAAGACTCCCATTTCATGTCAAGAACTAGTAGAAAGGAGGGGGAAGACATGTGTCTCCCCAAAAAAAAAACTATCCAATCTCACCAAACTATCCAAAGGCCCCCTCCCCCCCACCCCCTTACCCCCCCCCCCCCCCCCCCCCCCGGGAAACCGGCAAGTCCTGCTTGCTCTTCTCCTTGCATATAACAAGTGCAGCTAGCCTAAAAGTCTCTGGGGTCCTCTCTGAAGAAGCCACACTCCTCCACCGTTTTGGGGGGCCCTGGAAGCTCCCAAGGATCCCAAACGTTCCCATTGCCTTTCCTAACGCGGGTCTCAATTGAACAAAACTGGGGGGTGGGGGGGGGGGGCGTCCTAGCTTCTCACTTTCCTCCCCTGAGGAGAGGTTTCAACAGGTGGGGAGGGGGTGCATCATTGTAGGGTCCTCCGGAGTTGAGCTGAGAAGCCTGGAAGTCTCTCCATTCCCTCCCGCCACCCCCGCAGGCTAAGCTCTGCCTCTCGCGGGGAAACCGGGGCACTGCATTCAATACCGGGACCTGCGGTTCGCCCAAGGCCGCGGACCCCACGGAGCCTCCGGGCCTGGCCCGCGGGAACGCGCGGAGAAGCCCCGCCACCCCGGGGTCACGCGCAGCCGGAGGCGCCGCCGCCGAGGGACCGTGGCTGGGGCCTGGAGCGGCCCCCCGCTTCGCCCCTTCGGCCAGGTCCGGGGGCCACTGGCCGGAGCCGCTGGCTACTATTTCATGCCCCCAAACCGCCTCCCGAGGTGACGCTGCTACAGCCTGTGCGGTTCCTTTAAAGGCTGCGGGTTCCGCTCGTCTCTCCTTTTCCACTGGATGCCAAAATATGCAAATCCGGGGACCGGAATCTGCAGCCAAATCAAGGAGAAGGGGCGCGGCCGACGCGTCACCGGATCCGCTCCTTGTATGGCTCTTCCCGGCTTGGCGCGCCGCCCAGCGACCCTCCCTGCAGCCGCCGGAGCCCCTCCTGCGCCCAGCCCCGCTCTGCCCGCCGCCCACGGCCGGGCCGGCCGCCCGCCCCCCCGGGAGCGAGCCGGGGGCAGAGGCGCTGCACGCCCTGATTCCGGCCGGAGCCCGGGCTGCAGCGTTCCCGCTCCCGGCGCCGCGCGGGCGGAGGAGAGCCCAGGGGCGCAGTGCTTCCCCGGGTTAGGCTGGGGGGAGCCTGGCGAGAGTGGCGGCAGGGGCGGGGGAGAAGGGGTGCGCGGGCAGCGGGAATCCCTCCGTTCCCAAGAACTAGAGGAGATCCGGGGGAGACGGACCCCTCCCACTCCCAGCTCTCCGCGGAGTGACACGGAGGGGGGCAAGCGAGGTTGTCATCCACCCCCACCGCTCTGTGCAGCCCGGGAGTTCCTCCCACGCGTTCCCCGGCCCGCGTGGCCCTCCCACGGCGGGAGGCTCGGGGATCCTCTCTGCCTCCTTGTCAACACTCCTCCTCCCCCTGAGAAATGCACGGCTCCACCCCCACCCCCCCAGCCCGGCTCCTCAGCGGGGGACACGGGATTCACCGCACCCACGCGGCCACCGAGGAGGGAATCCTCCCACGCCAAGCCGGTGTGATTCGGGGTCGCTCCCCCACCTCCCTCCCTCTCCTCCCCTCTCCCCGCGCCCGGCCGCGCGCGCTCCGGGAGCAGGCCTCGGGGAGCATCCGCCGCCCCCGGGATCTGCTGCGGCGGGAGGTGACAGCTCTCTCGGGCTGGCACACAGGCGGCCTGAGACTGCGGGGCGTCGGGGACAGCCCTGTAGGGGGCGATGGTTGGGATGGAGACCAGGGGAGGCCGCGGGGAAGCCACCCTAGTGTCAGACACTGAGCTCGGCAAGATCCTTGCTGCGACTCGGCGGCGGGCCCTTCCCAGGCGGCAGCAGACAGCGGCTGCGCCCCAGCCTGCTAGGCCCTCCCGCCGCTCCACGGCCAAAGGGGGTGCTCAGGGACCGTTAGCGCATTCATCGAGGGTTTGGTGCACGTGTTTCCTATCCGTTCAACTTCATTTTCTCTTCTTCGCCAACAAAACCACACATCTCTCGACCCCAAATGCGCGGGGTTCTCGCCTTCCGCTCAGTCTCTTCGCAGCTACGACTCTCCCCGCCTCGGCGCTCCACCAGGAGTCGGTGCAGGGGGGGCATGGAAAGAGGCGGGAGGGGGGGGGGGAATCAGAGAGATGGGGGTACCAAAGTTCTGGGGGATGTGCGACCAGGCATCCCTGACTCGCTGGAATTCTCCTCCGCGAAGAGACGCGCTTCCTTTCTCCGGGTCTCAGGCAAGGTCTCGGCCCGAACGGAGCCGCAGCGCGGAGTCGGCGGGAGCGGTGTCGGAGGGCACGCCTTCCGGGTTCCCCGCAAGTTCCCAGGCTGCAAAGGGACGGTAGCCCGGGGTTTTCAATTCTCATGCTTCCTGCTACGGGTGTTGGAGCAAACACACACACACACACACACACACACACACACACACACACTCCCGTCCGCGCCTCCACCCCGCAGTCCCGGCAGGTTCTCCTCGTTGCAGACCCCAAAATAAACACGCAGACAGTGAAGGCTTTTTTCAAACGCGCGCTGCGTGCTCTGCGCTTTGCTTTGCGTTCAGGTGCATCCCTCCGTCCTCTCTCCTCTCCGAAATGGATTTTCTTCTACTTCCCTATTTCTCTCTCTCTCTTTTTTTTTTTGCAAGATCCGCGTGCGGTGCGGTCGCCGCGCGCCGCCGGCCGCCCGCTTCCTGCTTTCTAATGTTCCATTGTGAGGAGCTTCCATTGTGACGTCGCGCCCCTTCGGCTGGGCTTTGTCTGTCCATATATGGGCAGCTACGTCACGGAGCTTTCCCGGGGCCCGGATAAATAGGCTGGTGGAGTTCCCTGGCTGGGAGCTTTTGGGCAGCAGAGAGCTTGCTAGGAAGCGGCGGGGCTGGTGGTGGCGGTGGTAGCAGCGGCGGCAGCGGCAGCGGCGGCGGCAGAGGCAGCGGCGGTGGCGGCGGCAGTGGCAGCGGCGGATCGGGGGGGAGGGGAGGGGGGCTCGGAGCGCGTCTGTTTGTAGGATCCATTCTGAAGCCGCGTCCGACCCCCTCCGCCGAGACCCCACCCCACCCCGGACCCCAGCCCGCCCCCCCGCACACGCCCCCCCGCGAGACCCAGCCTCCTAAGGCACCAGCCGGGCAGCCCAGAAGATTACCCCTCTGCCCTCTCTCCCACCCACCCCACCCCACCCCCCAAAAAAAGAAGATCCCCTCCTCTGGCCCACCCCTTCTTCCCCTTTTCCCTCTCTCCTCCCCCCGAACTTTCCCTCTCGCATGCTGTTCCCCTGCACCACGGATCGCCTCTCGGATGCCGCTCGCCTGGGAGCTGCGTTAGGAGCGAGCGGCGGCGGCGGCGGCGGCGGCGGCGGCGGCTCGCGGGTGCTATGACCGGCAAACTCGCCGAGAAGCTGCCGGTGACCATGAGCAGTTTGCTCAACCAACTGCCTGACAACCTGTACCCCGAGGAGATCCCCAGCGCGCTCAACCTCTTCTCCGGCAGCAGCGATTCGGTGGCCCATTACAATCAGATGGCTACAGGTAAGGGCGGCGGGGAGGCTGCGGAGCAGCAGCGAGGAAGGGAAGGGAGAGGAAGGGAGGAGGGAAGGAGCCAGCTAGCGATGGATGGATGGAAGGATGGATGGATGGGTGGATGGAAGGATGGATGGATGGATGGATGGGTGGATGGATGGATGGGTGGATGGATGGGGGCGCGCTGGGAATTTTCCAGGGGGCGAGTTGCTTTTCCCACCCACTCCCCGCCCCCCGCCCTCTCCGCTCGGGAAGGCTCGGTTGGCTACGCCACGGGAGAGGCTTCTGTTCTCCCGGGTGGGGGCAGCCGCCGACCGGAGGGAGGTAGGTGCTTGCTCTCGGCCCTGGGGTTCTCCACTCGGGGGGCGCGATCGCCGGGCTGCGCGCAAGGCGTGGTGCCGCCGTCCCCTCTCCCGGGAGGAGCTGAGCGTCCCCTTCACCCGCGCTCTCTCCCCTTATTCCCTCAGCCCCCCACCCGGGATGGAGCCGTGTGCGGCGTGGAGTCCCCGCGGTGGGAGAGGTACTGCGACGCTGCCTTTTCGGGGCGTTCAGCAAGCCCGTGGGGGTGCGGGGACGGTGGGGAGAGGGTCCATCCACGACGGGGCTGCCCCGGAGGTCTGGGCGGGGGAGGGAGGGGAACGATCCTTGGGCCGAGAAGCTTGGGAAGAGCGGCCACTCCCGCCGTGGAGACATCGGTGGATTTTCCGCCGCCCTCCACCCTCGCCAGCTGGGCAGGGCTTTCTCCCACCAGCCAGAGCCTAAAGCTTCTTCAGGCCCCAGGAGACTGGGCCCGGGGGGAGGCGGCGGGCGAGCCCCCTGGGAGGGCAGCACCCCTCCGCGCGCGGAGGACAAAGCTCCGGAGCTCCCCGGGTCCCCGGCCCGGGCGCAGCGCGCCAGGCGAGCTTCACCGGGGCAGGAGAGGCGCGGCGTCCGGGCGCGGACCAGGTTAGGGGAAGAGGCCGAGTGGCGTGCGCCGGAGAGGGGAGAGCCCGGCGCGCTCCTGGCCTGGAACTACCTGTGGCTGCAGCTACCTGCCCGCCCCACCTCGAAACAACAATGCTGCTCGCGAGCGCGCGCGAGCGCGAGCATGTGTATGTGTGTGTGTGTGTGTGTGGTGCGTGAGTGTGTGCGCGGCGTGTGCGGTGCGTGTGCGGCAGCCCCTCCACGCCCGATCCGTAGTATTTCGCCGTCTCCAGGTTGCGCCCGGGAGCGCGGCGCCGCCCGCTTTGCGCCGGGCGCAGCTCTGCTCTTGCCCCACGCGCTGCGCACCCCGCCCGGGGCCGCGCCCTCCTCACCTGGGCAGGCGCCGGGGTACCCGGGCCCCGAGCCGGCTTCTGGCTGCTTCACTCACCCCTCCCCTCCCCTCTCTCCTCCGCTCTCCGCAGAGAATGTGATGGACATCGGCCTGACCAACGAGAAGCCCAACCCGGAACTCTCCTACTCGGGCTCCTTCCAGCCAGCTCCCGGCAACAAGACCGTGACCTACTTGGGAAAGTTCGCCTTCGACTCCCCTTCTAACTGGTGCCAGGACAACATCATCAGCCTCATGAGCGCCGGCATCTTGGGGGTGCCCCCGGCCTCAGGGGCACTCAGCACGCAGACCTCCACGGCCAGCATGGTGCAGCCACCGCAGAGCGACGTGGAGGCCATGTACCCGGCGCTGCCACCCTATTCTAACTGCAGCGACCTCTACTCGGAGCCCGTGTCCTTCCACGACCCCCAGGGCAACCCCGGGCTCGCCTACTCCCCCCAGGATTATCAATCGGCCAAGCCGGCCTTGGACGGCAACCTCTTCCCCATGATCCCCGACTACAACCTCTACCACCACCCCGGCGACATGAGCTCCATGCCGGAGCACAAGCCCTTCCAGGGCATGGACCCCATCCGCGTCAACCCGCCCCCGATCACCCCCCTGGAGACCATCAAGGCGTTCAAAGACAAGCAGATCCACCCCGGCTTCGGCAGCCTGCCCCAGCCGCCGCTCACGCTCAAGCCCATCCGGCCCCGCAAGTACCCCAACCGGCCCAGCAAGACCCCGCTCCACGAGCGGCCCCACGCGTGCCCGGCGGAGGGCTGCGACCGCCGCTTCAGCCGCTCGGACGAGCTGACGCGGCACCTGCGCATCCACACGGGCCACAAGCCCTTCCAGTGCCGCATCTGCATGCGGAGCTTCAGCCGCAGCGACCACCTCACCACCCACATCCGCACGCACACGGGCGAGAAGCCCTTCGCCTGCGAGTTCTGCGGCCGCAAGTTCGCGCGCAGCGACGAGCGCAAGCGCCACGCCAAGATCCACCTCAAGCAGAAGGAGAAGAAGTCCGAGAAGGGGGGTGCGCCCTCGGCGTCCTCCGCGCCCCCCGTGACCCTGGCCCCTGTGGTCACCACCTGTGCCTGAGGCTCGGGGGGGGGCCCCCAGATTTCCACATTTCCCCTCTGCCCTCAAAGCAGCGGGAAAGCCAGCCACGGAGGCGCAGGGGCCGTGCTTTGGCCTCTCCATGGACCTAAGGCTCCTTGTCATTCTTCGATGTCCCCCGCTTCCACCCTTTCACCGGCCAAGGGGGGCCAGGGCAGGAGGCGCCTTCCTCTGGCTGTCTCCCACCCCCCTTTGGCCACGGCGGTGTGGAGGGTGAGAGAGTGGCGTCTAGCCCGCTTCGTTCAGTTCGGATCGTCTTGATCCAGGGGCCGTGGGGGGAGGGGGCGAGAAGAGGGGGGGCCGCACCAAGGACTTGCGGGGGGGGGACTGAAGGCGGGGCCCACGCAAACCTCGCCTGACCTAAGCACCTCAATGATCCCCGTACGTACGTCTCCCTCGGTTCCCCCTGGAAGACCCGAGAGGGGAGAGAGGGTAAGAAGCGCACCAAAGCGCAGAGCTTGCTGCCTGCCACACGCACGCCTGCGCGTGAGGGTGCGTGCTCGCGTGAGTGTGCGTGTGTGTGTGTGTGTGTGTGTGTGTCAGACTTTTGAGCTGAACTGGGCTATGTGCACCCCAAACTCTTCCCCACGTCGAGTCCCCAGGCCTCTGGGGGCACTGTCCCAGGCTGGGTGCCTGCACGTGGCCAGATGAGACGGGTCTTCCATCTGCTCAGAAATAATGTTTCTTACAGAAATGCCTCGGATGCCACCACGGAGGGCGGTGTAACTACCGCCCCTTAAGGTTTGGCCCCTCAGAACCCCACTTTTTCCGAGCACTTCCCTATGAGGCCTCAGAGCAGTTTGATCTGCAGGGAGAAGGAGCAGCTATCACTGAACCTGCCTTTTTTAAAAAAAAAAAAAATGTATTTCCTCAGCCTCGCTTTTTAAAAATCTAGGTCCTGAGTTTGCCCTCTGCCCTTCCCCCACCCTCTCCCCTCCAAACTTTCTCCCATCTCTTTCAAAATCTTTTACCAGAAAGGCAGGCCTCAACCAGCCACCTATTTCACCATCTTTTTGTTTTCTCTCACATATTCTTCTTCCCATTGGTGGTGGGAAAGCAGGCTCATTTTTGCCCCTGGCCACCAATAGGTAGACCTCAAATCTATGTACTAGTAGATGGTGTGTGTGTGTGTGTGTGTGTGTACACACACATACACATACACATACATATATATAACATACAATATGTATTCCTAGCAAAATAAAATCTCTAAGGTACTTGGCTATCCAGTGCAGTGCACTGGAATAAAGAGAATTTGTAGGCATATACATCTTTAAATGATTTATTTTTTATGAAAATCTTAACTGATGAAATACCTATATATGTGTATATATATACATATACACACATACACATCTCTGTCCAAATTTTCCTTAAAAGAGATGGGGATTTTTGCATTAATCCGTGTTGATTAATGAGGTGTATCTTTTTCATGCCCCAATTTCACCTTCTTCCTGCCCTACCTCAACTCTTCTCAGGCACCCCTCCACCCCAGCCCTTCTCCACACTGGGGGGACTCTTTTGAAGTGTAATAGTGGGAAGATTGCTCTCTGACACGGCTTCCAGCACAGTCCTGACTGAATGTACTGTTCCCTATTCCCATTTCTCCTGTGGTCAGTAAGCTGCCCAGAGAGAAGGAACTAAGGTCTGGAGTTTACAGAATGTCTGTTTTTAAAGTCACTTTATGCATTATCCACCTTTTTTTTTTTTTTTTTTTTTTTTTTTTTTTTTTTGTTTTTTTTTTTGGGTTTTTTTTTTTTTTTTTTTTTTTTTTTTTTTTTTGGTGGAGGAAAAATAATACTAAAAGGAGTCCAGTGAAGGGGGAAATCAAAAAGCAGGGGGTGTGGATTTCCAGGTACTTGGACTTTTCGTAGGAGAGAGAAGAGAGGATGAAGTTTGCCAGGAGGGCTCATATTTTTTCAGCTGAGGGGTAAAATCTTTCTTTGCAGAGACAGTATTTTGCTGAATAGTTTTTATAATGTGATGATTATTAAAAGCAAAATTTTTGGTCACTTCAAAGCCAGGAGGAGGAATCAAATATCCTTTAATATTTTTTCCTTGCTCCTCCTGGCTTATGCATGTCACTGCATGATAACTCTGAGTTTTCCTTTGTTTTAATAAAACTGTTCTCAGACATTTAAGCTAAACTAAGAGAAAAAAAATAACTTTGTTGCCAAAAGGTTGTGCTATCCAGATTTTTTATATGTCTGCATGTTTTAAAAAAGAAAACAGCAAAAGAAAATGCACTCTAACTTATGTGAACTGAGAGGGGGAAAAATCAGGTTTTAAACAGGAAAACCTATGGGGAATGATATTTTTTGGAAGACTTTTGTATAAAGTTGAGTACTTAGAAAAAGACAAACCAGATGTAATATATTTTGTGGATGTTTTTATTTCTTGGATTTATAGTACCTTATACTAAGGTTAAAAAATATGCTTGATATTGTGAAAAGGTGAAATTCTTCACCAACATTTCATCTGCTCCTTTGTCACATTGTTATGCCAATATAATATAGTTAATGAAAACAGCATTTTTAAAAACCGAAATATTGAAATGGTGTAATGTTGTACCATTTGCACTGTGAGCAAATGCTAATACAGTAAATATATTGTGTTTGCTGACAATCAGCCGGCCTTATTTTATTTTATTCCTTGTTTTCATAGCATAAAGTTTTGGTTTGGCCTGTTCTTTGTCTCATTTTGTTTTTGGCTGGTGGTTGGTTTGGTAGGTTCTTGTGCCTGGTTTGGCCGTTCTTGCTCTGAAAATTCTGTGTGTGGGAATGCGGAGTTTGGCGTCATTGGAAGGTGATCCGAATTTTGTGTGGTTCTGGTGTCTCCAGTGTTGCGTGTTCGCTGTGGTCCCAAGAGAATAGAATTCTCCTCCACCCTCTGGAAGCTTCAAACTGCTGGGAATATTAGGGAAACAGCTTAGATAGACTTCTGGGATTCAGGGCCAGTGGCTGAAACCTTCTGGAACCCTTCTCTCTGGTTTTCAAATGGATATTTGAGGGAAGAAAGGAGGAGGTGGTCTGATCCATGAACTATTTCTCTGGGAGCACCAGAGCAGGACCCCGGAGGATCTCTACAGCCATTGTGAATGGTGGTGTTGGGGAAACTTTTGAAGCTTGGAAAACAAGCAGAGACTTGAGAGAGGTTCTTCAAGGTTGGCCAGATAACCAGAGAGATTGGAAGCTCTTTTGTGGTCAGATAATTGGGGAGAGTTGGGTTTAACATTCTAGAACTTCATCGCCACTTGGACAGGGTTCTCCAGGCCTGGGAAAGGTGGTCTTAGCTGAAAAACCACTTTACGAAGTACCCAGGGCTCTGATGCTTTTAAGAGAAGGAAGAGCATTTGGGGTTTGGAGAACACACAGGGAATGTTTTATACAGCATTAACCCTTCAAGCCTACAACTTCTGTCCTTTGTAAAAGTGATGCTTCCCCTCCTTGAGCTTTCTTTCCCAGGAGCTTCCCTGTCCTTAACTGAGTTTATTTGCCAGCCCTAAAGCTTTCTCCTGTAGAGATAGGTACCTCCCATGTCCTTCCTATCCCTTCACCTGATTTCCTGTGGTTTTAGAATCCTATATCTCTGTGAGGCTTGTCATGGAGCAATCTTTGGCAAGTGAACCCTGTCCCTCTCCCCTCTGCCCTGCCTCTCCTCTAAAGCTTCCACCTGGGCTTCCCTTCCATGTATTTCCCTATTATCTTCCTTAGCAGAGTTTAGGGGCTTGGTGTATGAGACTGAGCTATGTACATGTAGCACTGCCTCTGACTGGGAGACGGTCTCAGTGCCTGAGACATCAACCAGGCCAGCCACACAGTGACAGAAATGTAGCGCATCCCTGCTCAGAAACTGCTGTTGCTGCCCCAATGCAGGCCAATCAAGGTAAAAAATGTGGGTGGTGTTTCTGGTTGGCTGTAGTGACCAAGAAGTTGAGGGCAGACTTGGGTGAAAGAGATGGGCTGTGGCTTTAGAAAAGAATGCTTTTGAAGTGAGAGATCAATAAAGAGAATGCAGTTTGGAATCTTAAAGTTTCTCACCCACACAATTCTAGGTCACTGGCTGCCATCTTGAATTCCCTTCTCTCACCTCATGAGACTTGCAAAATTCTAAACTACAACTTTATGTGCAGCCACAAGGAGGTGTCTCTTTTTTTCTTTTTTCTTTTTTCTTTTTTTTTTTTTTTTAACAAAAAGAATACAAGATGAGGCCAAAAAGTCCTAATGATTGAGCATATAATCCGTCTCTTTGTTAAACTAGATTTTTCCTTCCAGATTTCTATCTGTTGTTTTGTGTGTTTTTTTGAATGAATATTATCAAAGGAAGATAAGTGTCACTGGGTGTCTTCTTAGTTAGCATCCAGCCCCGCCTACATCTTCTCCAATCAAACCAGGCCTTTGGAGTTGCATTTTCGTCAACAGTGTACTATGCTGCATGATTAATAAACTCACTTCCCATTGGTGCATATTACTCAACCCAACCTGGTTCAACCACTGGCAGCCCACTAGGTTACTTGGCAATATGGCAGCCCGTCTAGCTGGCACCAGCCCTGTGTGGTGTAATCTCTGATTCACACTTTGTAGCTAGATAAGGCTTCCTTTGATAGCATCACTCCAGCAACCCAACCTGCCTGGGTTTGTAAATATGGGGAAAGGAAACTCAACTCTGAAAAATAGGCATGAATTGGAGAGATGTGGAAGAAAGGCCTAGCTGGTGGAAAGGGCTCAGGAGCAAAATCAGGTATTTATACCTAAAAGAGGTAGAGGCCTCGTTCTTTCCAAGCAACCCCTAATGTGTTTGGGAATTAATGAAAGGATACCCCACATACACATACACACACACACACATCTTGAGAGTGGCATACTGAAGGCAATGACTCCGCAAAATTGTACTCGGGGAACTGAAGTTAAATACAAGTGAGGAGAGACACTGTGAGAACTGGGGACAAGGAGTGGCATATGTTTTTATATGGTGGGGGGGTGGTAGTGATGGTGAGTATGTCTATGTAATGTTCACAAGTATATAAAAAGCAATAGCAAGGTGGATTCAGTATCTTATGGCCAGTCACTACTGCTCCCCTTTTGCTAGTCTACCATTTGCCTGCTATAGATGAGGGGGTTGTGAGTTGCCTTTTCCTGGCCTTGATTGGCCCTCCTGGTGTCCTGGAATAATAAACCTAGGGGAAGTAGGAGGCCTCCATGTGTCCCAAAGACTAGAAATCATACTGGTAAAATCTTAACAACTAGGAGAAAATGATTTCCTAAATGGTGCCATGGGGTTTTAAAAATAGGTCGTAATCCTAAATCTATCCCCAGTGGTTCTTTTTAGAAAACCTACTCTTTGCGCACAGAGGAATGAGGTCTCTAGAGGAATGCATAATGCTCAAGGATCCCAGTGAATCTTAGAGCCCTTAGTCATACTAGTGCCTGAGACAGCCCTGAGGACACCATCAGTCATCCCCAGAGGTCTGGCCTTGTCACGTTCTTCCAGCATCCCAGCTCTTGAAACTTCACCTCTCTCTTTGTTTCAAGGTTCCCTTCTATTCCATCTTTAATACTCCCAACGATTGGCCAAAGCCGGTTTGGCTCAGTGGTAGAGCATTGGTCTGCGGACTAAAAGGTCCCAGGTTCGATTCCGGTCAAGGGCATGTACATTGGTTGTGGGCACATCCCCAGTAGGGGGTGTGCAAGAGGCAGCTGGTTGATGTTTCTCTCTCATTGACGTTTCTAGCTCTCTATCTCTCTCCCTTCCTCTCTGTAAAAAATCAATAAAATATATATAAAAAAAATACTTCCAACAATTGGTCATTTTCACAGCGAGGACAGAGGCTGATGAGGCTTTTCCGTACTCGCACTGTCTCTGACACGTCCATGCCCAAGTAGGAAGGGACCAAGTCCGGACTCTTCTGCCTGGGATCCTCATTCCTCAACCTCATCATGGCTGCTTTATCTGGGATCTGGAAGGAGCATCCTTGTCACCACCCCTGCTGGCCACCAGGGGCACAGTGTTCCTCTGCCCACTGATCTCCCTGTGAAAATACTCTTTCTTCCATTTGGGCAAACACACAGATGGCTAGAAGAAAGGCTTCTGAACACGCTCACTAAGGAGCTAAAGCAAACAGAACATGACCACAAAGCCACAAGCAAGAAAGAATTAGAAAATGCAAGGTTCTAGATGGCAGTGGCTACTCAACAAAAATGTTCTTCTAGGTTGGGTGGGAGTTTGACCCTCCTATGGTTTCTTTAATGTTGTCTAACCTTATTCTTGTCTCCAGAGAGGCACCCAGCACCTTCTCTCATGGCCAGGACTCCATAATCATCCAACCCTATCATTGCCCTAATAGTGTCCTCTGGGCCCTGCTCATTTTACAAGGAGCTTGATCCTGGGCTGGCTTTCTCTGGGAGACCTGCCCTGGGCCTTCAGCCATCTTTGAACCTTTCAGAGAGGTATCGTGACCCAAACAGAAACAGACTGCTATTTTCTGACCCAGCCGGCGACAGAGTTGAGTTCCCTCTTGGTTTACCCATTGAGTTCCTAGTTATAGTCTCAGGAACTGCTTCTGCCTCTGAACTCCCTGGAGGAAAAGAGAAGTCTGGCACCCCTGAGGCTAGGGACATCCCAGCCTTGCACAGGGGAAAGTACCCTTGTCCACGGGCTTGTATTCTCTGGGCTGGCTCGCCCCAGGGGGTGTCCCCACCTTTCTCTCTCTAATAAAGGGAGAGAGAGTAGTGACCTGAACAGAACTGGGCCTCTACACCCTTTATCTTCTTCTCAAAGATGGGATGCAAGAGCTCTGGCATTTTGTCCCTCCAGGTTGTCCAGGTGCCTAAAGGTCTTCCATTCCTCCTTGTTCCCTTCTTCTTGCTCCTTAAAAAGCTCAGGCCGTGGGCACAGGAAGGCAGAAAAAGCTTCTGGTGCTAAGGAAAGCATTCTTTGGGGTGCTTGTTACTTACTCGGAAATTGAGAGGCAGTTTGATAACCAGCTTTGAAACCGTCACCTCCATCCTAGATCCAATGCGTGTCTTAATCTCTCTGCACCTCAACTTCCCCTGTGTTATCACTGCTGTCTTATCGTGTGATGCCTGTTCATGGTGGGTGCTCCATAAATGTGATTATCTCCTCATCCCTTGTCCCTGTCCCTGCTTTCCCCATCCTCCAAACACAGATGTGAGAAAGAGGGCTCTGTCTCCATCAGGGATCAGTACACTGGTTCAAACACAGCCAGAGGAACTTGACTCTTTACCACCACCTCCAACTCCAGCCATCCAC